AGCTCGCGATTTATGCACCTCTCCATCACCTTACTTATAACAGAAAGCAGAGCTATAGGCCTATAGGTGGAAAGAGTCGGTCTTAGATTCTTTCTTTGGGATGGGTTGGACATGAGCAAATTTCCAGTTTTCTGGGAAGGAGCCGGATTCATAGGATATCTGGAAGAGACGCGAGAGAAATGGAGCAAGCTCCGCTGCACACCTCTTCAGTACAATCGCAAGAATTAAGTCCGGACCAGAAACTTTGTTGATTTAGAGCGACAAGACCACCCATCTTTCGATGCTAAACCTGAATGCTACTTCCCGCATAGTGTAGGGAACCCTTTGAATCGACGGCACTTGGGCGTTAGGGGACGTCCATGGTGGAGTTGGCAGCAAAGATCTTGGCAAGCGCTTCAGCCTTGGCCTTTGAGTCGGTTACAATCGATCCATCCTGACACGTAAGTGGTGGAAGGCTACTGTGTGAGAAGTTCTTTTTAATTTGTTTGGAAAGCATCCAGAAAGACCGACTGTCATTGTGCTGAGACATTACCCTGTATCTAACTCTTATATGGTGCTAGTTTTCGGCATTGAGAACCGCATGGTTATATTTGCTTCTGGACTCGATATCGGATTATCTGTACTCTACAGTGGCGTTTCGTAGAAAGGCTCTGTGTGCCTTGATCTTATGCTGTTGAGCAGTGTCACACGATTTGTTGAACCAGCCATTGGACCCTGGTTTAGGCACTGCATCAGGGATGTATTCCTCCATTCCGACGTGGATAATTGCGATTATCGAAGAAGAGACAGCCGACGCATCCGCGTTATCGAAACAAACATCTCTCCAAGGAAAGTTAGAGAAGAAGTCTCTGAGTCCCTCCCAGTCGGCATGTCCGTAATGCCAAATTTTACGTCCTGGGCCAGTTTCTGCTGCCACAACGGGTTCTGACCGAAACCTAATCTCCACAACACCGTGGTCCGAGTTACTTAGGAGAGACAGGGCAGCAGTGCTGTAAGGGACGGGATGCTTGGTCAGAAAGAGATCCAGCAGGCTACTGGCATGTGACGAGACGCGGGAAAAGAAGTAGGGCTCGTCACCAGCTGAATCAGCCCTTGCCAACCCATTCTCAAAATCTGTCAGTTGCAAAATTTACGTTTTCCGTGAAATATTACGTCTTTATTACAGCTCAAGATGAAAATGCTCAACATTTTGAAAAATATGTCATGTTAGGCTGCTTTACAGCGCTCAATGAAAAGTACTGTGAAGCTTCCCAACTATATTTCAATAGGTTTGTTTAAATGTTGATTCACCTTTTGACGTATGTGGGTTTATTTTTTACTTTTCGAATGCAGTTATTTTTATTAGACATATATAATGCTAGGCATTGCTCCCAAGAAAATAACCATGTGATATTCAAAAGACAGCAACCGGGTCGATTTGTATTTAGCGTTGCTAAAAAATAACCACCCTATACCTTCATTGCGTTCGAGAAAATAGGAACCATTTTAAGCAGTTCCTTTAATGTAAAGTCTATTTGAGGTTAATTTTATGTTAATATTAAAATGAAATATTACAATTTAGCTTTTTTAAAATGGATGTGTCTGTAATATGCTATAACAAATAATATGTATTTAATACGGTCAAGGCCTACTAATTCTAGGTATATTAATACACACTATTTATTCTTTAAAATACATACATCATGCGTTATATTTAGGTAAAGCTTAAACAATTTTCAAACGAGAAAAAATATACAGGGTGTCCCATTAAAAAAGCTAAGTTTGATTCATAGCTAAAAATTGACACCTCGCAGCAAAAATTTTTCGTAAAAAACCTGTGCAAGGACCAGTCTTTAGCTCTACGATGTGTTTAAGGATAACGGAGATGAGGGGGTATCTTTGTATCACAGAAACAAAGGGGGCTATGAAAATTGTATTTATACCATCTGCCTTTTCACAAAAAGGTAGCACAGTATTACGGAAACCGCAGCTCTCTCTGTTTACTCCTAAGCTAGATACCCCGTAATATTATCGAAAATGGGTCACCCTGTTCAATGACAACGTTCATTGTCATCAGCTGTCATTTTACTAGAAGAAGGGCCACTGTGGTGTCCGAAACATCATACAATAAGCAGTAATTATAACATATGTGGCTTGAGCTCACGACCAGTCACTGGAGCCCTATCAACATGAAACCTTCAACTTAACTATCTTAACTATAGTCAACGCCAAACAAAGTGGCGTGCACGTCATCAAGGTGGGTGTGTTGAAAAATTTACATTGTTGCCAAACTTTTTGTAAAATAATAAAATTTATTATTTACATATCTAGGTTTATAAGCAATATTAACCTCAAATGAGAACAAAAATAATAGTATAATAAAATTATAGATCTGTACTTGCATAATCATTAAGTATGACAATTATTGATCAGATGACACTATGAAACTACCATATTTAATTGATAGCTTAAAGGTACTGAATAAAAATCCAAATGGGGTCCTCCAAATTTTATGCATGGTATTTATTTTACAGAATTCATACAGAAAAATGCATTCTAAAATTAGGTAAGCTACTGGTGTAAGCTTTTTCTGTACAATAAAGTTAGTCGGAGTTTCTTTCTTCAGCGCTGTCTGAATCTGAATCTTCATCACTCTCAAAGTTGATTATTAAAGGTTCGATGTCTGGTCGATCAAAAATTCGTTCTCTTTCATACCATTTAAAAATTTCTTGCTCAGTATGTCGAACACTATTTTTCCACATGTCTGGGGTAACCGTTTGTAGAGCCTCGTTCCACATATCCAAACAGTCTTTTTCACTGTTACCATCTCTACCAATATGTCTGTTATAGTAACCTTTTGCTATGCCCCAAATTAACTCAATAGGGTTAAATATACAATGGTAAGGAGGCAGACGAAGAACTTTGTGCCCATGTTGTTCCGCCAATTCATCAATCACGTATATTTTAGGTGGTTTGTTTCTAAAAAAGCAGTTATTTTAAGAATAGGAATAAACAAAAGAAATATAAACTGTCGACCAAAATATATATAATTAAGAAGCATTATGTACCGAGCAACAATACTCAATAGCTCTGTTTTAAACATTGTGTTTAAAAATGGTATGTTTTGATTTGTCAACCAGTCTTGGATATTTTTTTTTGTCCATGCATTGTTGGGCACTTTGTTCAATATCATGCTGTGATAAGGGGCGTTATCCAGTATAATCATAGATGGACTCTCCAATTTTTCTAATAACTGATGTTGAAACCATTTCAAAAAATTGTTCTGGTTCATCTCTCCATGGTAATCGCTCAATTTTGTTTTCGAAGAAAATATCGCTTCACTACTCTCAATAAACCCATTTTCATTTCCAGCATGTAATATAATGTATCTAAAATATATTAGTTTTAAATTTTATAGTGCAAATTGTGTAAAAGTACATACCTTTTACCATCTGTTTTAATAGCTTTCACGCTTTTTTGGTTTCCATTTTGCCAAGAGCGACCTATGGTCCCATTTTGAAATATCCAAGTTTCATCGAGGAAGACAAGCTGGTATAAGGCCTCAACCTTGGCTTGATTGTATTGCCTTAGAAATTCCACCCTTTTCAAAGCTATACTTGGTAGTTCCATGAGCCCTCGTCGCGGATTGTCCTTAAGCCACTTAAATCCAAGATCTCTAAGCAACCGCCTTAAAGACGTGGCACTACCATCAAATAATGCCCTATCTCTTAATCGAGACCATAAAGTTTGTATCGTAACTTGTTCTTCTGAAACCATGTGTAATATGACATTATAATTTAGTTAACAAATTAATGCAAATTTCTGATAAGTTATTATAATAAGATCTTACTTTTGTGATACATATTATAGATCACTTCTCGAATGGCATTTGTATCCAATGTCGCTGTGTTGGTTACACGTTTAATATAACTCCGCTTTTTCTTGGGCGATTCTAAATTTGCATCACTTTTCACACCCTCGGAAATACGACTAACTGTCCTTAAACTAATTTTTAAAGCAGCAGCAACACGCTACAAAAAATGAAATAAAATTTCATCATTATTAATATACATTACATATAATTATTAGTAACCTACCTCTTGAACAGCATTTAAAGGCAACAAAGGCCCGTTGTTGTCCCTTTCTTGCTCAAAGTAGTGCATTAACGAGGCCACGAGTTCCTTACACCGACTATTTAACTGTTTGGGCATCTTTATATACCAAAATTGTCTTTATCTACTCGTAAAATGAATAATTTTGTTTTGAAACAAACAGTTGTTGATTTACAGTATGCGGGGCCAAAGGATTTATAAAGATTTGAAATGCCACAAATTGATTCAGTGTCAAAATTAATACAAATGTCAGTTCCCAGTTTAAATAAGTTTCAAGGTGACAATGTGTCAACGCTGCGAAATCGGTTTAGTGCGTTTACATGTCGATAAGTGATTGGAGCGTTTGCAAAACATTTTATTTCGCATAATGCGTCTAAATTTATCAGAAAGCAACTTATGTGATATTTTAATAACAATGTTTATATGACTATTAACCATAATAAGAGAGTAATGACCATTTTACAATTTATATATCACATTAATATGAAACTGCAATAGAGCAATTGTTTGTGATAGAAACCTAGGCATTAGGTCGGGGAATTTTTATCGTGATGACGTGCACGCCACTTTGTTTGGCGTTGACTATACGTCTGCGTGAAGTCTGAGCTGCTTCAGAAAACATCCACATCAAACCGTAATTCGCCTGGAGTATCATGGTCAGGACCGGAACAAGGATTCCATCCAAAGATGCAGGTGTAGCATATCTGAGCTTCAAAAATCAGTATTTTTTGAACTGATTCAAGTCACAGTGACATCCTTCAAGGAATAATTTTTCGTGAACTAAAGCACATTGCTCCAAATACTGTTGAGGCAAAAGCTGCGATGTCAAAACCTATTCATACGAAGTTTTTGGACATCAATATTCCGGTCCTTATGACCCCTGCTTATAAGTTTTTGTAGTAATCTCACCTTAATCTCTTCGTCAACAGTATCATACTCTTCCAGCAGCTGCGCTAGCATCTTGGATCTCCTCTCATCTTCTTTTTTGCGAGCATCCGCAGACGCAACTGCCAAGTCAGTCAAGATGTTCCGCTGCTCTCGCCTGAAGATGTCCAACACACGTCTGGTCTTCGCCAGTTTACCAGATGGGCCTCCAAATTGGTTCCTGTTTCGATCCAAAATCGTGTAAGTTCTGGCCAAACGGCCCAGCTCAGCCTCCTGTTGGAGGTGGTGCTCGAACTTATCATCCTCGGTCAACTCTTTCTTCTCTGGTCGCATCTTGAAGCATTGGAGTTATGCGATCCACGAAACTGTCATTTCTGACAATTGGCGAGCTTTTTAGGTGTTACTACATCTTATTGTAGAGATCTGCAATCAAGTCAAGAGTCCAAGAAAGAGTGTGCTGACTATATATGTACGTAATAGTCCAAGAGATACACAAAGTCTAGTCGCATGGCTATTACGTAAAAAATATCTACAAACAACAACAAAATGTCAACTTGCTGCCTATATAGTTCCTAGTGTGCAAATAGTATATTCCACGTTTTCCACCTATGGAGGAATGACTTAACGACACGACTCGCTCAATGACCATGCTGCAAGCTGCAAGTCAGTTCCCCATCTTGATTTGTTGGTTGCGTTGTGTGTAATTAAGCCACATCACAGAAACATTAGGAATGACCCATCACATACACATCACATTTTCGCACTGCCTCACATCTGGGTTCTGATTTGTATTTTCTTCTTAATATCGTAAAATAAATTTCTATAGAATTTAAATGTATGGCAATAAAGATTAATGTGAAATGTAATAACTTTCTCACGTTTCATAAATATTCCTGTATGTACCATATTTTCTCATCTATTAGTTTTTATATACTTCACCAACCAGGGATTTTCTTTTCTTATAGCTCTCTTTTTTTAAATTCATTAAATTTGCGTATGTAATTTACAGGTTGAATAAGAAAAAGCGAATGCGGAACTAATTTTTAGCCTTACATATACCATATCTCAAGTAAATGTATATGAGACAAGAAACCAATGTACATGACTTCAGGGCCAAAGATTAATAGATGAAGCATCATGACGTTTAAGCAACACGTACAGCTACTAATCGAGTACACCACAAGTATACAACAGCTAGTGCTAAGTTGACGTCGTAGAGAAAAGCCTACATAATATCACCAAAAACCTATACAATGTCAAAAAAAACGATATAATGTCAATTTTCAAGATACGTAATACCCCTGCCGGCATGCAAGCTTCAGTAATTCAATTCAATTCAAAAATTAAATCAGGAATTATTTCATGCTCTAGCTACAAAAACATATTTTTCCATCTGATTCCGGGTGCAAATTTTGCGACTAGGTTTGATGTTTATATATATAGCCCCAGTAATTCTAGGCACCTATTAGATATATTCCACACGTTAGAAATTTCCCATACATTTGCCCTTAAAATGATACAGAAATGTTTCTAGCAGATGGATATGTGCACGTCGCGATCCGGCTGCTAGGCCAGGGAATAGGAAGATTTATAGTGGATATCACTAGGCTTGTCAAATCAACAAGCCGTTATTTACCACCTACAGTGTAACAGTCCATCAAATATAGCGAACGAGCTTTAAGATCCATTCAACAAATTTTAGCAACCAATAGCTCTGAAATATTGAATAATTTACATTTAATTCAGTCAAAATTTAAAAAAATTGATTTTTGAATAAAATTCATGTTTTTTTCGAAAAAAATCGAAAAAGCACGTTGATAAGCATCAGTACTGGTGGCAAGAAAAACCGAGTCAAATTATTTTTCCACCTGCATGAATGTTTTTTGTTGAGAAAATATTACTTTGCATTGTTGTTTCGATTTTTTTCACAGGAAAAAATATAGAAACCCAAATGGTATTCGACAAGGCTATTTCCTGGGTAACAGATTATTCTGCATACTTTTCTGGTGTCCCAGGAGACATGATTGTCAAAGGTATTGTAATTTTTGGTGACAAGGGCTGTCAAGTTTTTCCGCGGGAAAACTCTAAAAAACTGCTGACAGGTGCTGTCATACAATTTTTCCATCTCGAAACCATTTGCAATTCAAAATTATGCTTTTGTGATTGGTAGAAATTAAGTCGAGGGAAATTGTCATGTTTATATTAATTTCTTCAATAGATATGCGATTTTACTGATTGAACATTACCTACCGTGTGTTTTTTCCTATAAACCTCTTGCAGATAGCCATTAAACACCTACTTGATGACAAAAAAATTCAAAGATATTGCGCGTTTCCAAACATTCATTCATTTACTTGCCGTTCATCAGTACCATTATGACACCTTAGATTGATATTTGCACAAAACCATTCAGGCTTTTTTATATCCATACACCCGTAAAGTTGAATATTATTAGTTGTTCAGGAAGTGAACAAACATCCACACTCTATTTACAGCGACTGAGAAATACCCAAATACAAGTCGTTAAGCTACCTGCAAACCTAAAACCTGCAAAAAACTAGAATTTGCAATAATTTTCACAACTCCCCATGTGTGACATAATTCTTTGGGATCCGTCAACGCTTGGTCCCAGTGGAGCAAACTCGGCCAACTTTTGAAATATACACTACTATGCTTTTATAAGACTATACGTAGTGGAATTTTTCCCAAAATCGTTGCGCTGAAAATTTTAAAATTAACGTCCGTAATGGATCCGTCGGTATCTTGACAGGTTGTCGTTCTTGTCAACTGGGCTACGGTGTGCGGTGTTGCCTTTACTATTTTACATTATGCTAAAATCTTATCAATAGAAGCTTGAAATGAAATATTGACGAATATGAATCGATATGCATAGAATTTAGAATATAAATTCATACTGCACGTTTCAGATTGTCTATGCATGGACTTGCACCGGATTTTTCGGTATTTTTACCGAATTGAGAATATTTACCGAAAACGTCATTTTTCACGATTTTTCAAAATAATTCAAATACTTCAATACTTACCGAAAAAGAACTGGAACCAAAAATTAAGCTAAAACTTAATTTTATGTAGTCTTCGTAGTCTTATGTCCCATATCAATCATACATATGCACACACACTCAGACAGACGGGCACACGAGAGGCGTAGATTTTAGTCGCATATGATTATGAACGCACATCCTCAGCTATTACTCCCCTTGCCCTGAATTAATTTTTGAGCGTACAAGAGGTACAGACTGGTAGATTACCGTCATTACCTCATCACCGGACAAGCAATAAAGAAACGAAACCTGTCTGTTTTCAAAATAAATATTTAATTAAAATGTTAGGTGAGTTCATAAGTTCAGCGGTAAAACAGAAAAATATTCACAGTCCTATAAGCAAGAATCGATAAAAGAGTTATCAGAATAGTTGCAAAGGACTTTGGAAGACAGACCAGTATGCACATTGTACAAGTTGTAATACACATATAGAACTAAGCCCTCAAAAGATATGTGTGCGCGCTCAATACAATGACTCAAAGCTCCTTGATCTGCCACTGATCTTGAGAAGGCATTTTTCCCCCTACCGAATTCAACGACACTATTTACGGATTCCGTGTTTTTTTTTTCGGTTCGTCAACACTGCAGATCACTTCAAAAGCAATTAATATCCGAGACGTTTTATAATACTTAATAAAAATGAAATATAACAAGTTTTGCAAATATTTTCTCAAATAGGAATTTTTGATTTTGATTTATAATATCTAGACGATGAATAATAGGTGGATCCAGGACCCAGAATGTGCTGTTTGTTCACATTTGGTGTGGATTTCTAGGTCATAAATTGGTAAGAAATTGTTTTTGATATAACAAAAGATGATGAACCAGTTGGAATACGTTTCATATGCTTATATGCAACATAAAAAAATCGGTACATTTCAACAGGTACGTATTATGCACAGGTATGTACAATGGACAGTCGTCAAAAACAACTATTAAATATAAAAGCTAGAAAATTGACCTATTATTTCTTGAATTTTTGTTGGTCCATTCAAATAAATTCCTGTCTTCTGTGAAATGATATAAATTGGCAATTCTATGCAATCCTAATTCTAAAGATCTTATTCAATATTTCGATGGAAGTTACTGATATTAGGAGAGCTTTGACAGCTTCTGTCAAATTGCATTTCGATAATGCCGGTCCCACACGATGCTTCCAACGTTATCTACAACGTTGTGTACAATGTTCGACACCCCACAATTGGCTTGTGTCTATACGATGGGAAGAACTGTTTAGTCTCGGACGTTTGACGCATGGTGTCATTGCCGCGCTTGAACCTTTACAAATAAAAGACAAATTATACAAAATGAACGATCAAACAATTTTTTCGAGCGCCAAAAGATAATTTCAGATCTGTCTATATAAGTCTGACAGAATATACAGTATTATGAATAGGTAGGTATTCAAATCAAAATACTTCCCACATACCACTAATTCACCACAATCATAGCCAACAAGTAAATAATGTTTTTCACCGCTACAAGTTCTAACCTAAAACCATTAAACACATGCAATCTCGTGTGGGAGCATAACGAACAATGCTTCCAACGTTGTAACGTCCTTTGACGCGGGTCAAATTTACCAGCAAGAGCCCGTACGTGCCATGTGGCGAACGTTGGACACATCAGCGCTCTCCCACACGATGTGGCGAATGGCCATGTGTCTAACGTTGTAAGGCATTCACCACATCGTGTGGGACCTAATTGGTCGAGGACCCCGTTAGATTTTAATGTTAGTGAAACCGACTCCTAGCATAATAAAACTCCTCAAGAAGTGTATGAGACAATGTTTTTGTTGATAGTGTTAGTACGGATTTCTCAATTTAACAAACCATTATTCTGCACCAGTAGGGTACGAGTACTAAACAGCCCGTCAAATATACCCAATCAGCCTCAAGATCTCTCCGTCAAATTTTTGGCAGCAAATAGCATCCTAGTGTTCAAAACAAAACACTATAAAATATGAAGTGATAGCTTGCCATTGAAATGTTTTCATTTATTAAATATTATGAAATTATATAAAACTGAGCCAGAATTTAAAAAAAAATGCTTGATGGCTGAGTAAAATCCATTTTTTTCCGTTTAGCTGAAGATGTCTCCATGTTTATTGCAACTTTTGTAATTCATATGTGATTATATTAATTCACCATCACCTACTGGGTGTCAATAGTTTATCCTACATTTGCAAACTTGCACTTCCAAATTCTTACATGAAAAAGCCTTTTCACTCGAATTTTTGTTAGGTGTTGCATTTCAACACATTCATACACTTCTTTCCAATTCCTCAACTACATTTTGACACCACTGGTCCGAAACTGCTCAAGATTTCATTCATACATTCAATTGCAGTTGCAGTTTTTTGTTTTGGCGGTTAGTGCAGATTTAACTCTACACGACAGTGTAATATGTAATTCTGCACAAGAAAGGTCTTGGAGGGAGCACCTTTTATACGGAAAATCCATTTT